GGGGGGGGGGGGTAGGGGGGGGGTGTATGGATCACAGAAACCGGCGGCGGTAACAACTTGAAACCCTAAACCCTTACCTTGAACACCCCCCACCCGCATCCAACTCTCACCACAACCCTGAACCCTGAACCCTGAACCCTGAACCCTGAACCCTGAACCCTAAACCCTAAAACCCTAACACCCTAACACCCTAACACCCTAACACCCTAACACCCTAAACCCTAAACCCTAAACCCTAAACCCTAAACCCTAACGTGCACCACGAGGGGCGTACTTGGGGCACCCCAGGGGGCATTACGGGCTTGCCATCCTTTGAGGTCCAGAACAAGAGCTCGCCGGTTTCACTGCCGCAAGCCTTCCGCACGAGGCTGTGAGGCTTAGGGTTCAGGGTTTAGGGTTAGGATGTAATTTAGGGTTTAGGGCTTAGGATTTCAGGCTCAAGGTTCAGGGTTTGGGAAATGCAGTTTAGGGTTTAGGGTCTAGGGTTCAAGGTTCGAGGTTCAAGGTTCAGGGTTCAGGGATCAAGGTTCAAGGTTCAGGGATCAAGGTTCCAGGTGCCGAGCTTTGTTTGGGGGGTTGCAGGTTTTCGAAACCCCAAACTCCTTGCACAGCTTTACAAGAAGCCCAACAAAGAACATGCACCAAAGTGCGAGGGTTTAGGGTTCAGGGTGTAGGGTTTCGGGTTTAGGGTAGTGGGGAGTATTCGGGAACCTTGGGTTACATACCCCGCTTGAACCCCTCTCCCTTAAGAACCCTATAATTGACGCTGCTGTTTAGGGCTTAAGGCCTTTGTGGGTTTAAGCAGTCACTTCAAGCTCGATTTGGCCCATCCCAAACAAAGCCAATGTGTCATCTGGATCGCGCTTAACCGTTCAGTGTTTAGGGGAAGCCCTAAACCCCTGAACACTGAACTCTTGCGGTCCGAGCTCCACTGGAATCTAGAGAACATTTGACCCTCGAAATTCCGAGCCCCGAAAAAAAGCCCAAATTGCGAGCCCCTAGAACCCCTGAAGCCTAAATGCCTATATGACAACCCTGAACCCCTCAACAACAAGCCCTGCACTCTAAACCCTAAGCCCTAAGCCCTAAGCCCTAAACCCTAAACCCTAAACCCTAAACCCTAAACCCTAAGCCCTAACCCCTAAACCCTAAACCCTAAACCCTAAACCGCCGAGTGGCCACATAGGCTCCATCCGGTGACAGGGTTCCCCGCACCGGATAGCTACCACTTTCCAGGCCAAGCCTCGGATAGCGCCGGGTTGGTTTAGGGTTTAGGGTTTAGGGTTTAGGGTTTAGGGTTTAGGGTTTAGGGTTTAGGGTTTAGGGTTTAGGGTTTAGGGTTTAGGGTTTGGGGTTTCGGATTTAGGGTATAGGGTGCTGGGTCTAGGCGTCGGGTTGGGGAATCCCTAAACTCGACTTCCTCCTCAACCATTCCCAACTCTAAACCCTAAAAGCCTAAAGCCCTACAACCCTAAACCGAACAACCATAAAACCCTAAAACCCCAAAGCCCTAAAGCCCCGAAAGCCTAAACTCCTAAACCCTAAACGCCTAAAATCGAGGCCAGCGAAACCCTAAACCCTAAACCCTAAACCCTAAAACCTAAACCCTAAACCCTAAACCCTAAACCCTAAGAAACCCTACTAGCGAAGGCCAGGTGGCATCTTCTGCTCCACTTTCAGCACGCCTCGTTGCAGTGAGGCCAAGCCTTACTTCTCCAATAACCCCAGGAAGACAAAAAAGAGGTTAAACTTCACTATTCGAAGAAAGAAAGGTTAAACTTCACTATTCCTATACTAAATAAGGACACGTAGATACCCTACTCTTTAGGTAAGACGTAGCTATAGTAGGAACCAAAAAAAGTATTCAAGCATGGCACTCCAAAACGCAGTTTAAAGTTCAGCTTCTGGCTAAAACTACTCCTACTATACTATTCCTACTAAATAAACCCGAAACCCTAAACCCCAAACACAAAAACTTAAAGTATTGTAATTGACTGAGAAATAAGAGGCGTATGGTGTGGTCCCTTGCGAAGAGCAGGGCCCAGTCGTCTGACATCGAGGCCTCATGTGCCCTAAACCCTAAACCCTAAACCCTAAACCCTAAACCCTAAACCCTAAACCCTAAACCCTAAACCCTAAACCCTAAACCCTAAACCATTGTTGCGGGGTTGAGGATTTAGGGTTCTAGGGTTTAGGGCTCCAGGGTGTGAGGGTTGCGGATTCTGGGTTTAAGGCTTGGGGTTCTAGGGTTTCTTGGGTTTCAGGTTTTAGGGGATTTAGGGGATTTAGGGGTTTTAGGGTTTTAGGGCTTTAGGGTTTTAGGGTTTTAGGGTTTTAGGGTCTTAGGGTTTTAGGGTTTTAGGGGTCTAGGGTTTTAGGGTTCAGGGTCTTGGGGTCTTGGGGTTTTGGGTCCAGCGAAGCACCCCAAATGTCCTTCATTCTTCAGGATGAGTGTGCCGTTCTTGTTGGTACGCTAGAGCTCGGGTTGAACGTGGAGCTTCATGCTTACGAATCTGAGGGTTTCCAGGATGGGCTATGATAGCCTATAACCCCTTACAAAATAAGGACAGTTATAGGGTTTCATGATGGATATAAACAGGCCTCATAGCCCATCCTGGTTTGTGTTCAGACAGAGCCTCCATTTCCAAGCAGTTCAAGCCACGCGCAAGTCTTGAAGGCAAGCAATCCTACTCTAAACCCCTAAAAACCCCTATACACATTAGACTTCTCCAACAGCCATGGAATAACAAGTAGGTTAAGGTTCATATCTCTTCGTAGAAAAATGGAAGCTAGAAAGCTTAAAAGGTTCAACTGCCAAGAACAAAAAGGACCTTCAATCCTAAGCTCTAAACCCTAAACCCTAAACCCTAAACCAACCTTAAACCCGAAGCCCTAAACCCTAGACCCCCTAACCCCCGAAACTCTCGTGGTTGGGCCGCCTGAACGGAAGTGATGCGTCGACCCTGAAGCAACTGCTTGGTGACGATCCTGAGGGTCAGCAGCGGGCTTAGGGTTTAGGGTTTAGGGTTTAGGGTTTAGGGTTTAGGGTTTAGGGTTTAGGGTTTAGGGCTTAGGGCTTAGGGTTTAGGGTTTAGGGTTTAGCATTTGGCACATGCGGTTTGGGGTTAAGGGTTTGGGGCAGATATCCAACTAACTTGGGGATGTTCCCCCATATACCTGACAGTCCTTAAAAAGGATTATAATAGGGGGTACTGTACTATATTCCCGATTAGGGACTGTGAGTATAAGGGGGAACATCCCAAAACTAGCTCATCTGAACAGCCAACACCTACTTCTGAGGGCGCCCCCAAACAAACAAAAGGGTTTAGGGTTTCGGAATCGGGGTGTCGGGTTTGGGGCATTGGAAATTAATTGGCATGGTACCTTCCGATGGCTGTTTGCCTTACAGGCTTTTCGCATCTTCCCTCAAGCCTAAACCCTAAACACCAAAACTAAACCCTGAACGTTACTACTCAAATCCCTGTGAGGGGTATATGGGGGTTTCCGAACATAGGGGTGCTTTTTGGGTGTCCCTTTAAGGGATTCCATTCTATTTGGGGTATAAAAGGGGGCAACCGTAAACCCTAAACCCCAAACCCAAACCCTAGACCCTAAGCCCTAAGCCCTAAACCCTAAACCCGAAACCCGAAACCCTAAACCCTAAACCCTAAACCCTAAACCCTACTCAAATCCCTGTGATGGGTATATGGCCCAGGCGCTCGAAGGAGTGGATGGCGGTACCAGTCAGCTCGGAGCTCGCGTAGCTGCGCACGAGACCTTGGATTCATTTAGGGTTTCAGGTTTGAGGGTCCAGCTTAGAGTTGATGAGGGGTTTAGGGTTCAGGGTTTGGGTCTGAGGGTCCAAGGCTTAGAGTTGATTAGGGTTTAGGGGTTTAGTGTTTGGGGTTTAGGTTTAGGGTTTAGGGTTTAGGGTTTAGGGTTTAGGGTTTAGGGTTTAGGGTTTAGGGTTTAGGGTTTAGGGTTTAGGGTTTAGGGTTTAGGGTTTAGGGTTTAGGGTTTAGGGTTTCAGGATGTAGGGTCACCTGGCAGGTAGCGTTGCAATGCTTCACACCTAACAAGCAAAGGGCTTCGGGCTTAAGACCCCGCCCCAAGCCCAAACACAACCCCAATCCCTCTCCCTCGTTCTCCCCCAAACATGCAGCCAGTTAAGCGTTATATGGGGGATTTCCGAAATTAGGGGTACCTTATTGGGGTCCTAATCAAAGAATCCTACTATTTGGGGGTCTATATTCGGGTCCCTTCTCGTAAGCCCCAGATACACAAACGCAGGGAGGGGGGCCCCAGCCTTAAGAACAACCCATGATTCCCATGATTCCTTCAGCTTGGGACTCGGGACAAGGGTCCAGACAAAGATCATTCAAACCACAAAGCCTCGGCCTCCGCAGATGATGATCAATGCTTGCCCAAAATAGCCCTACACCCGAAGCCCTCAATGTATACCCTACACCCTAAACTTTACTAGATGTAGGACACGTAGCTGAAGGGCTCCTCTCTTAAGTACCAGTATCTCCCGGCCTGTATACCTGACAAAGTAACCAAAGCAGACAAAGAAACCTTCAATGCCTGCAAAACACGGCCGCGACAAGAAAAGGCGACCAACCACGGACAGGAGTCTTCAACCGAAACTCTAAGAAGATCTGAGGACGCCTCAGTACAACTAAGAAGGGATCTTAAACCCTGCAAAGATTCTGGGCCCCTCAAACAGCCAGGATTCGAAACCCGGGATGCCGGATGAAAGTATGAAGGGCCGAGGGGCTCGCTGAGACGCCTGCAGGGTTCTACCCGCGCCAAGGCACAGCCAGAACAGTTTCCCAACGAGTCTATCACAGAGACAGCTAAACCCTGAACCCTAAACCCTAAACCCCTAAACCCTAACCCTAAACCACTAAACCCTGAACCCTAACAAACCCAATAAAGCAGATAGCAGCAACTTTGGGACCCACTGTTCCCGGTGAACGTAGCTGGATCCTTCATGTTGATTCTGAAGATGTTCTGGCCTTACTAAACCCTAAACCCTAAACCCTAAACCCTAAACCCTAAACCCCGAACCCTAAACCCTAAACCCTAAACCCTAAACCCTAAACCCTAAACCCTAAACCCTAAACCCTAAACCCTAAACCCTAAACCCTAAACCCTAAACCCTAAACTGCAGCCATCCATCTTCGAGGGTCTCAGAGGAATTCGGTCCAGGGTGTCAAGCGGGGTTCAGGTCTCAGGGGCGTAATTAAGCTTTCCGGGGCGAATTAGGGTTTAGGGTTTAGGGTTTAGGGTTTAGGGTTTAGGGGTGTTCGGGTTTAGGGTTTAGGGTTCAGCATTTCAAGTCCAAGCATTCACTAGTCAAGAATTTACTCCAGAAAAATACCCACCCGCCCAAAGAATCCCACAACATTATGAAATATTTCACTTATGGAACGACCTTGCCCAGTAAAAAAACAACCTTGCCCAGTAAACAATGACCTTGCCCAATAAAAAAATGACCTTGCCCCGTAAACAAATGACCTTGCCCAGTGAAAAAAACAACCTTGCCCAGCAAAAAAATGACCTTGCCCAGTAAAAGAAATGACCTTGCCCAGTAAAAAAAAAATGACCTTGCCCAATCAAAAAAATAACCTTGCCCAGAACAAAATGACCTTGCCCAGTAAAAAGAATGACCTTGCCCAATCAAAAAAATGACCTTGCCCAGAAATAAATGACCTTGCCCAGTAAAAAAATGACCTTGCGCAGTAAACGAGTTACTGGGCAAGTTCATTTGTTTTTACTGGGCAAGGTCATTTTTGTATTGGGCCCAGTACAAAATGACCTTGCCCAGAAAAAATGACCTTGCCCAGTAAAAAGATGATCTTGCCCAGGAACAAAAATGACCTGGCCCAGTAAAAAAATGACCTTGCCCAGTAAAAACAATGACCTTGCCCAGTAACAAACATGACCTTGCCCAGTAAAAGAGTTACTGAGCAGGGTTGTTTTTTAACTGGGCAAGGTCTTTTTTAACTGGCAAGGTCCTTTTTTACTGGGCAAGGTCGTTTCTTGGACCGAACGACCTTGCCCAGTAAAGAAAATGACCTTGCCCAGTAAAAAAAAAGACCTTGCCCAGTAACTCCATTAACATGCAAATTATATATGAAAGAGAGGTTTAGGGTTTAGGGGTTGGGATGAGGGTTGAGGGTGGAGGGTTGAGGGTGCCTTTGGGGCCTATAAACCCTAAACCCTAAACCCTAAACCCTAAACGCTAAACCCGAAATCCTACACGCCAAACGCAGAACCCTAAACCGCAAACCCTAAAACATAAACCCGAAACCCTAAACCCTAAACCGCCCGCCTGCGCTGACGTCGTTGCGCATCTGGAAAAGCAGAAGGTGCCCGGCATCATCACTGACGTAGACGTTGTCCAAGGAGTTCGCTTGCCTTGGGAGGGAAGGCCTCAACCCAAAACCCCATCAACCCTGAGGGTTTAGGGCTTTTAGGGTTTAGGGTTTACGGTTTATAGGGTTTAGGGTTTAGGGTTTAGGGTTTGGGGTTTGGGGTTTGGGGTTTGGGGTTTTGGGTTTTGGGTTTAGGGATTTTAGGGTTTTTAGGGTTTTTAGGGTTTAGGGTTTAGGCTTAGGGTTTAGAGTTTAGGGTGTAGGGTTCTTAAGCCTCAGGCCTAAGGGTCCATCTCTCTAAATACGAAAGAGGCTAAGGTGATTGAAACAACTTCCGATGGACTCAGCACTTGCCAAAACCCCACGGGTCCATGTACGTTGTTATTGTACACTTGGCCCCAAGGTCCCTATACAGGAGGCAATGTCAGGCCCAAGTCTTCCCTATTTTAGGGTTTAGGGTTTAGGGTTTAGGGTTTAGGGTTTAGGGTTTAGGGTCCCTCAGGGAAAGTTACCGCATGGGTCTGAGCAGACATCTGCAAAGCACTGGCGTGGGAATCAGAACGAGTCGGTGTGAACGAGACCCACAAACCCTTGAAGCCTAAACCCTAAACGCCAAGCCCTAAACCCTAAACCCTAAACCCCAAACCCTAAACCCTAAACCCTGTAGAAAGCTCCGACGGCTTCATGTCGAGAGGTAAACGCTAAGGCCTTAGGGAGTTTTTGGGCTTTAGGGGTATATAAGGCTTAAGCTGCTGTAGCGGGGATTCTGGGGCGTTAATATAGGGGCCTTAATGATTCGAATGGTTTTTTTGGGGGAGTTCTTTTAGTACTATATTTTTATAAAAGGGGACCACAAGGGAAGAACATTAGAAATTATTCCGACCCTATATTAGTCGACTTTACCGGCTTCGAGGCTTTGGTCCGTCACTCGCTTGACACCAGCGCGGGGCAGGCTTCCAAACACCCAGACTTTGGCAGGGCTTTTGAGTAAAGTTTAACCATCATGGGTTTACGGTTTAGGGTTTAGGGTTTTTGGATTTAGGGTTTAGGGTTTTGGGCTTTGTGTACCCATGCTTTGCCGGCTGCTGCCGCATCGTGGGTCTCACACACGAGGCTGCGG